TGGCTGGATCTACTGTGTGACTCTGGGATTGATTCATGGTACAGTGTTAGAATTAAAGGTATTAGGATTGAGAGTGTGAGTGCTACCTGCTTGCCTGAATAAGATATAAAGGGTAGAAAGAGCTGTGTTTCCCTTGCTTGTTTGTTTTGCTACCTTCTTCATGTTTGTTGGCTTCTGTGTGCAATGAATTTCTTCTCCTCTGCAATGCTTGTCTGCCATGACACCCTGCCTTGGAGCCAGCCAATTATGGATTGAAACCTCTATAAAGTGTGAGCTAAATAAGCCTTTCCTTCTTTATCTTCAAGGGTTGGGTATTTTGTCTCAGAAACAAGAAAAGTAACTAAGACATAAATAACCCAGCTATTGCCCTTCTAGGTATTTTCCCCCAAGAGCTAAATTTAGTATATCATAGTGATACATGCATACCAATGTTCATAGCAGCATAATTCATGATAGCTAAATCCTGGAAGCAGCCTTTATGTCCATCAACAGATGAATGGATAAAGAAAATGGGGTATCTATACATAGTGGAATACTAGGCTATAAAGAAGAATACATTTGAGAGTTTTATAGGAAATGGATGCACTTGGAAAATATAATGTTGAGTTAAATAAATCAGACATACAAGCTTAAATACTATATTGTATCTCTGAGTAAGGCAAAGTACAAAGAAAAAGATAAAGGCTGGATAAAAGGAAACAAGGAGATAAATGTCTTGCAAATAGAAAGGGGTTCAGGAGACTGAGGGGAGAGGGGAACGGTAAGTAAGAAGAATATACCACACACAGGATCCTAATAACCACAATTAATGTAAACATTATATGTCCAAAACATGAGCTGATAATAATAACAATAATAAAGAAAATGGGGAAAGGGGATTTAGAAATGGAGGGAGATGGGTAGTAAGAGGATTATAAAAAAAGAAACAAGCTGTGTTATGTACCTGCCCCAAAAGATGACTGTAAACTTCATGTACAGCAAGCATGTGCTAATAAAATTTTAAAAGTAAAAAATGAAACTATTGTTCATGACCTCCTGGCTCAACCCCCTGGTACTCGACACTACGTGATGCTGAACTGCTAGTGACTCCCACCAATATTACTGCTTCCAAGACCGCGTTATGTGCTTCTGCTGCCAGGACTGCGCTCCCTCCAACCTCTCTGAACTCAATGCTCTGTTGTATTTCCAAAGTTGAAAAAGAACTTTTGGTTATTTTTAGTTTATAGAAGTATCACATAGGTAAAGTAGCAAAAATTATATAATACAAAGAAACCCTGCATACAATTAAATAATACATACCAGATATGAATTGAAGAAAATCATTGACAGACTGGTGAATATACTTTCCATTTTTCTACTGTGTGTTTGTGTGTGTGTGTATGCGTGTGTATGTGTATGTGTGTGCATATGTGTTCTAGGCTATAAAATTGGGATATGTATTGGTCAACTTTCCCTTTGTTGGACAAAATATCCATAGCCCACAACTTAAAAGATGGGTTTAATTTGGCTTAGAATTTTAGAGGTTTCAGTTCAGGGTCACCTGGCTCCAACACAGCTTTAGTAATCCCTCAGACAGCTCCCTAGCCAATCAGATTGATAATTCAGTTTAAGGATTACAGAATATGTTACTATTATTGTTATTATTTTTAAATTTTTATCAGTCTATCAGATTATTCCCCCAAATATTTTTTGATTTACTTTAATGCAAACTGGGTTTTTTTGGTACCCACGATCGAACTCAGGACCCTGCACTTGCAAGGCAGGAGGTGGAACCACTGAGCCAAATCCCTGGTTTAATGTAAACTGTTTTGATCCCTAGGAAGGGCAAACATTTCTTCATGTAATTCTTCTCCTGTGATCTGCCTGTGGGTATCTACTTATTCTCAAATAAACACACATAAGGATATTGGTCATATGTGTTATAATATTTTCTTTCTACAAATGAAAATTGTGGAATGCATGAGTGGGCTAAAGCACAGCACTTCACTCTAGAATGCCACCTTGTTGGGGTGAGAGCTCATTCTCAGACTGCCTTATCTCTTCTCACATAGAACCAACAGCCAAATCATGTGGGTTCTACTTTCACAATGTCTCTAAATACCCCAAGGGCAAGGTCCTGATTTGTCATATCTTTCTTGGATTTCTGCAAGAGCCTTCTCTCTGATCTCTCTAAATGAATGTTTTTTCCTACTATGACCAGTGTTTTCTAAAACACAACATGTCTACTTATCTCTTTTACTTGAAAGCTTTTAATGCCTGGAAAATCATTCACATTGTTTTAGAAAGATGATCAAGGATGCCATAAAATTTGGTCTGTCTTTGCAACTCACACACACCTCTCTTTCTTCTCTCTTTTACATAATCTCTGTTCCAGCCACCCCACACTTTCAGCTATTCCAGAAAAGATCTTTCATTTTACAGCTTTTTGCTTTTCAGGTTTATGTCAAATGCCACAAATTCCATGGAAACTTGTCCTGTCCATCCACCAAAGTCACCACACCACCATCAGCCCTAGTGATTCCTTAGCCAACACCCCTACTAGGCATGCCTCTCCCTAGCTTCTTCACTGGCTCATTATTTCAGAGATAATCTTATATCTATTTCCCCACTCCAACAACTTCCTGCCTACACAGAAATAATTTTGTGGGCTGGCAATTTCAATGAATCCATCAAATCCTTGACGCCTTTTATGCATAAATTTATCGACTCCACTTTATGATACTTACCAGTTGAAATTTTGAGTTGAAAAGTTGAGTTCTGAAAATATATTACTTATAAAATTCTGGAATTCTACATACATATTTTTTGTTTTAAAGCCATTTAATTGGAGGGAATAAGGTCCTGAATGCTCTTCTTAGACAGAGGATCTGAAAACAAATGGGGAGGTAGACGGTAGTGTTTTCTCTGCCTTGTTAGGGAAACAGATCTACTTCATGGTGATATGTATTCACATAAGAATATGATATTACAGTCACATGTATAGTTTCTAGTTCAATTAAAATATATTAAAAGAACTTTTAGCCCAAGTATATAATACATACAGTCTAAATATAAAAGAGACATAAATGTCAACATTAGTGTCGTAAGGTTTCTAAAAATAATATACTCCAGAATGAGGATGATTAAGCATTTGCCTCTGCAAATTTAAGGTGCGTGATTTATTTATGCACTCCTTTTTCTCACTACCACATATTTTAGGTCTAAATGTCACAAATAGGAAAGTTATTCCAGATACAAACATTATTGTTTATAAACCTTTGCCATGAGTGAAACAATCTTGACTTTACAACTTTAAGGGTTATGGTATTTCTTTCCAGGAAGCAATCAATCAGGAATATTAAAGCATGTCAAGAGAGAATAGATTCTTTCTTTTGTTCTGTCTTTTCTCCCTTCAATTTTCTAACATGTTAGCCACTATGTTAGCATCTAAGGATACAGGAATAAACAACACAGGCATGTTCCCTGCTCAGATGGCTCATATGAGCTTCTGGGTGAACACAAACTAATTCAGAAAGCTTTTAAGGAAGAAAGGCTATCAAGAAAAAGGTGAGCCAGGTACAGTGGCACATGCTTGTAGTCCAGCTACTCAAAAGGCCTAGGCAAGAGAATCACTTGAGCCCAGGAGCCTGGGAAACATAGTCAGATTCCCATTTTTAAAAAAACATGGACAGAGAGAATTTGTTGACATCATGCTTATCTATTACTGAAACAGAATATTACTTAGAATTTCTATGATTCTTCTGTCAGTATAATTTATTCTTCCTTGCTTCAAATTGACAAAAGGAAGTTATTTTTAATATGATATTTGTATTCCTTTCCTAATAAAGTATCAATCAACTATTTACTGTGTAAGTTCAGTATTAGGGAAATCAAAATATATATTATTGTATATATACATTTTATATTTTTCGATTAGTGATTACTAGAGTTAAAACTAAAATACTAACATATTACCTGTTTAAATACCCAATATACTATCATAATAATTTTTATTGCAGAAAAAAATTTAAAACTTCTATTTTTTTTCTAAATTAATTTGGCTTTTAATTTTCTTCCAAGATCATTCACCTCCTGTCTTTTTTCTCCTTAGGGTCAACATATTGTTTATTTCATTAAGACTTTAAATAGCAAGAGGTCTAAACAAAATAAAATAATTAAGTTGTATTAATTCATTTAGTTCCTTAAAAGCTCTAGCAGAAGCCATAGTACAAAAAACAACAGAATTATTAAAATATTGCAGTTTACTCCTACTGTGGTAAAACTGACATGTTACATTTGTATTCTTCACGATTATAATAATGATTTATCTTAGTATTATAGCAAACACTTTAGTTCTAAGATGGCATCTAACTTAATTCTGTCTTTAAATTCTGCTCTGAGTGAATTGATGACTTTTTGTGAGCTCTGAGTTTTAATTTTCAGTTGTAATATGACCATCTTACTGCAGCTGTAGTGAATGGCTGGATTCTGGTTTTGAGAATCACCAAATCAAAGGAACTTTCCTCCAAGGAAATCCTGAAAAATTTCTTTGTACAGACTTGGAAACACAGGAAGATCTGTAGTGCCTTTGTTTTTATTTCAGGGTCACATTACCATGATTCTATTCCCTTTTATTATTTACTTTTCAAAGTAAAGTGAAAACAAAGAATTCAATTCTCAGGAACTTATCCATCAAACAGGAAACATTTTCTATGTCTACATTGTCAATTCTACTCATTGCTTTCTCCCATTCACTCAGAAATTCACCAGGGTTTTATGAAGCCCTTACAAGTTCACAGGCAGTGAACTTGACACTGTGGAAACAATAAAGATGTGGATCCAGGATTGACTCTCCACAGGCTCACCTTCTGAGGATGTAGAGGTAAGATAAAGATGGAACAGACAGGTAACCAGTGTTTAAAAACAAAGCCCACACTCCTTGAATACCTTCTGAAACAAGGAGGGATAGACAACATCAATAAAATGATAATGATTAATAATAAGTTTCTCTCTTTACTCACTTCAGAGCAATCCTTCCTGGGCAAGTTGTGTATGATTTCCCTCCAGAATGGAAGAAGGCATTCACAGAGGGATGGCAGGGGCTGGTGCAGGAGTTGTGCCTGGCACAGGGGAGGGAGGAAACAGGGACTGAAAAGACTCTTTCATTCCCTTGGCAAAGGCAGCCTTGCATGTGGGACCATCTGCTGTGCCTTCTGAGGGAGAATGAGTACCTCTAATGATATGTGTCTTAGCACCAGCCCCTGGCAGGAGCCGATGATGGAGAAAATAGTTTAAATGGGCTATAGAACCACATAAAATAAGGTGTAGATAATCATTTTATTTTCTCCCAAAGGAAAGAACATTTACTCTGTTTAAGCCATTACCTAAGAGCTTTCTTCCTCAGACCAGGATCCTGAATTTGCTGTTTAACATTGGCATGCCAACAAAATTTTACCCTGTTCAAATTCCTTCCTTGTAAGTTGAGAAGGTAGCAACAGATGTGTCTAAATTCCATTCCAAATGAAAACAAATGCAACTTTTACATTAAGAGAATTTCAAGGGATACACATTCTATTAGCAAAAAGAAAATAAAAATGGTGTTTTTATTTAAATAATGGTATTTTTCTTGTTGACTTTTCCCTGTCAATTTTAGATTAGTTATTATCATTTACTGACTACTTTTGTGTTTATTATACCATTAAAATAAACAAAAATAGAAAGATTAATCTTTTAAAAATTTTTAGACACACACACCACAGATATAGATGATGCAGCATGGAAATGAAATGCTAACTGAAACATAATTTCAGTTTTTCTCAAGCTTTAGTAGAGTTACATTAAAGTTTTGTCATAATTCTTGGGCTTATCCCACACTTCCTAATTTGATGGGTAAAGTGGACCTTTGTAATTAATACTTCTAACCTGTTCCAAAAGGTACTGACTCCTGGCCTGGGACAAACATTTGAGAACCATTGCTTCTTAGCATAGCTCCTGTAGAGACATAATATCTTCAGTATATGTGGTCTTCAAATGCCTCACAGTTAAGATGTGCCTCACACAATAGTTTCCTCAATTTCCTGTAGATGGTCAGAAAGTCATGGTGGCAATGGTGTGTTTTGCTTTGTTTTATGTCAAAATGTTTTCCTTCTATCTTTAATCAATTACCTGCTGATTCTCTGCTCCCTTCATTATTTCCTTGCAAGAATTTCAAGCCACTGTAAAACTTATATTTTCATGATTTGTTTTGCTTTATTTTTATAGCATTTTTCCCATTTCATCTCTCTGTCTGTCTCTCTGTCTCTGTCTCTCTGTCTCTGTCTCTCTCTGTCTCTCTCTGTCTCTCTCTCTCTCTCCCCTCTCAATTTTCTAACTGAAAAAAATCCAATCAAGGAAGAGGCATGTAAATACTTCCAGCCTCTTCTAGGTTTCTCAAACATGATCTTCTGAAACTTTGTCAGTCCCCTTGTAATATCCCCATTCCCCCTGTAGTAAAGGAGAATATAGAATGGTGCAAATCCTCTACCTAATTGACAAGGCAGTCATTCCAACTCGTCCTCTGGTGGCAGGTCCATATACAATTCTCTCCCAAGTTACAGGGCACTCTAATTGGTTTCCAGTCTTAAATTAAAAAGACACATCCCCCACCACATCCAGACTCCCACTTCCTGTTTGCCTTTGAGAAAATTCCATTACAAGAGAAAAGAAGCAATATAGAAGGAAAATTCTCTTACAGAGATTTAGAGACATTCCTCACTGTTTTGTTTGTTTGTTTGTTTTTGTTTTTGTACTGGGGATCTAATTTGGGACCTTGCACTTGTGAGGCAGGTGGTGGAGCCACTCAGCTAAATCCTCAGTGCAGGTTTCACTGTTTTGCTTGGGCACTAGGGAAAGACTTAAGGAACCTAGGGTTTAAACAAGGAACTATCCTTCAGAATGTAGATAATATTCTGGTTTGCAACCCAACTGAGGAGTTATCAGACTATAACATTGTACTCTCAATTTTCTAGCTAAGAAGGGATACAGAGTCTCCAAAGAAAAGGCTCAGTTATACTTCCAGAAGCTTCAATAGCTGGGCAGGTATTGATACTAGGAAAAGGGAGAAAGTTAAATATACAGACTCTACATATGCCTTTCTGGTGCCAATGAAGCAATCTGCAAAGAAAGGGGGTTATGACTGATAAGCAATCACTTATAAAGGGCAAGTAGGAAATCCTACAACTTCTAGGGCAGTCCATCTTTCCAAGCAGGTCACAGGCATGCATTGTAAAGGGATTCCAAGAGACCTGTCTGAAGTCTCCTTGGGAAATAAAAAGGGGAAGCAAATGATAGGAAGGCAAAATGGGCAGCCTTACAGCCCCTTAAGACTCTACCCTTATTCCCAGTTCCTGAGGGACAATTAAAATCAGTGTATAACTCCCAGGAAGGTAAATGACCTCCAGGAAAAGGAAATTAAAAATCTGGTAGTATTTAGAAAACAAACTGGTTTTTCCTCAAGAGACACTGGAAAGTTATGAAAACACTTCATGATTCCTTTCATATGGGAAAAGATGATACATTGGAAAAGGTCATTTGAGTTTTCACATGACTAGGATTGTCCACTCGGAGACTAAATATTTGTAAAAACTTGAAGAGTGGGGACACCTGCTGATGAGTTAAAGCCAAAATGAAAGGGCCTCTTTTCAGTGATCCTTGCCATACTCACTGCAGTAAAGGTGGCAGAGATAGATAATGGATTCATCTTTCTAGAATAAAGCCAGTTTTACCTAAACTGTCTAAAGACCAAGATCACCCAGAGGGAGAAAGCTATTCTTATAAGCCCCAGGAAGACATGAGATTTCCCTTTAAAAAGCAAAACTTTAGTATTGCTACAGATAAGTAACAGGATCTCGCTAAGGCCATGGCTCTAAGGCTCTTGATGCTCCCACATACACTCTTCTCTGCAAGAAACATGGAAATCTGACCTGGTCCTCGTGTTTGGGCTAACAGTGAAGTTCCTTTCTCCCTTCAAACAGGCAGCTCAATGGTCACTAACTCTTTTCTCATTTTTGGGGGGATAAATTTTTCTTTATTCAACCCAGTGAGTGAGCCACAGCACCCCAAGGTAGTTGAAGAGCACATAATCCCCAGTAAGCAGAGTCTTCATTTCCTTGCAGCTCAAAGAAAGTAAAGAAGACAGAGACCTCAATTCTGGCAGCAGCTAAAGAACTATGGGTTTTTGTGTCTCTCGGGGGAAATGAGATAGGACATAGGGCATGGTTTAGACTGGCTAGGAAGAGAGTCATGGCCAGATCCTAGAATCTACATAGCATTGCATCTCAGGAGCCCGTGTGTAGAAGTTCTCATCGGTTTTTGTCAAGTATGGACTGCATAAAGGATACAGATGTCATGAAGAGCCCACTGCCATGGCTTTTTTCCTGGTAGTTCACTCTGTAGTCTTCGGGGTGTACTTTTTCCTTCTTTTATTTGGCCCAAGTTCACGTTGCAGAGCAAGTTTCTCCCTTACCCTTCACTTTTACTTTCTCAAATAAACTTTGTCATTGCTTTTGCTTGTCTTGTTCAATTCATTGTTCTTGAAGAGAAGACCCTAGAAATCACCTCCAGAAGGACATTCCAGCACCCAGAAAACTCTGGTAATCCCACAACAATCCCTGTGTATAGGACACTGAGCTACATGAATTGAAGTTTGCTGGTTTTCAGTCTTGCTTTGGTCCAGTTCCCTTTTATTCTCTTTCCCCACCCTTTTGGAATAGAAATGTTTACCCTATGCTATTGTATGTTGAAAATATTTAGCTTTCTTTTTGAGTTTTACAGTGGCTCCTGTATACGAGTTTCCCTTGAGTCTCAGAAGAGACTTTGTACTTGAATATTTCAGCACTCTTGAAACTTTTAAGACTTGGTGACTTTTAGAAATAGACTAAATATATTTTGCATAATAAGGTGGACATGAGCCTTTGGGGGCCATGGTGTAATGCCCTTGGATATATGGTTTAAATCTAGGATGTTCTTCCATAAGGCTCATGTGTTCAGACAGAAGTGGGGCACTTTGAAGGTCGTTGTAATATACAAGAAATATAATTCCTGAACTATTATATGTCAAATGTGCTGAGTTTGTGGTTTCACAACATCGAGGAATGAAGTCATCAACCAAAAGAGGAAGTTAGGAGAGTTTTGTTGGAAAGAAGAAGGAACATAACTCCTAGATTTCCAGGAGAGGTCCTGAATGGATGGCCACCTAGGCTTTATCAAGGGTAATTTATACAGAAAAATTGCAATGTGGGTATAACATGGGTCAGACTATAATCAAACTATAGACTTATAAGTATGGCCACTTAGTTTATATTGCTCTAACAGTGAAACAAGTTACTTAGCAAGGGTGTATAAACAGAACAAAGGCATTTTGGGGAAAGAATGGGTCCAGATGTTCTGGCCACTTACCTGGGCATCTGATGCTTATGTGGACTTATTAGACAAGGTGATACTAATAACTAATAATTCAAGTTACTATTTATCTCTCAGGGATTTGTGTAGGCCTTGCCCTTGTGTCTCCGTCTTGTGTCCTGGACTTTTTTTAGATTTGTCTCCAGCTACAATTTTGATGTCTTTATTTTTTGTCCTGACTTCCTTGAGGGCCCAACTCCTTTCTTACTCTATGTTAATTTTTTATGTAACTTAACGACCTATAATATTTCCACAGTAGAGGTATTCCTAAACTGTGGTGAAGGGAGAATGTGCAAACTTTCAATCTGGTTTCTTTAAGCTTAGAAAGGTCAGTGTAGGTGAGACCACAGAGAGGGTTCTTCTCTACAGACATAAGCTAAGGGTCCTTGGATAGAAATGTTGAGGTTAGCAATTATGAACTCCCTTCAGGAGGTCAATATAGTGAACCCAGTAAAAGAAGTCACACTTTTATTGTTGGTTCCATCTACATAATCCCTTGGAGTTTGCTGGCCTCTAGGTGAGAATAAACTTATTTTACCAAGAGGTAAAGCATGTATGACCAAAAAATAAGCAACAGGATGGAAAAATTGATTGGGGAAGGAGTCAAGGCCAGGCACTGTTT